TTTTTTTTTTTTTTTTTTTTATCTTTTTATTTTACTTTAAACAAAGAAAAAATAAAGAAAGTGTTATAAAATGCGAGGAAGATAAAGAACACAATGTAAAAACTGGATCTAAATTACAAGATACTTTTCTTATTTCTCTTTTCCGTACCAACATTACACTGCTTTTGGCCCCTTTTATAGGTGAGTGGGCACACATTTCAATATATATTAAATATAATAATGTATGATAAGATTCATTAGTAGTAGTAAATTTCACTTTTACATAACACTCCCCCTTGGAATTACCACTATTAAATGTGCGTTTATGCTGCCTCGTTAAAAACCTTATCTGTAAAATCCCTGGGGGAAAAGAAACCGAGATAAGGAAAAAAGAGTACAGCCGCACATACTCCCCCTCGAGTTATCATCCGTGCAAATCCCAAAGACGTTTCATTCCAATATTGTGTACATGCTTTCGAAATATTGTCGTCGGAAGTGCCTTTGTAAATAAATCTGCTGCATTATTATTTGATCGAACGTATTGAACTTTGATTTGTTTGTTCCTTTCAAGCTCTTGCGTATATGAGAAGAACTTTGGCGGGATATGTTTAGTTCTGTCACTCTTAATGTATCCTTCTTTGGTTTGAGCGACACATGCTGCATTGTCTTTGTATATCACCGTCAGGTCATCATTGTTCGATAGTTCACTGGCTTGTTGAATATGTGAGTCATGTTTCTGAGCCAGATGCTTTCCCTAGTTGTTTCATGAAGTGCAATGATCTCAGCATGGTTTGAAGACGTCGAAACTAATGTTTGTTTCTGGGACCGCCAAGAAATGCAGTTCCGCCAATCGTGAAAACGTAGCCAGTTTGAGATCTTGCTTTATGGGAGTCTGATAGATATCCTGCATCTGCAAAACCGACCATTTCATGTTTTTTATCATTGGAGTATGACAATCCCAAATCGATTGTCACTTGGAAATAACGGAATATATGTTTGATTCCATTCCAATGTCTCCTCGTAGGTGCCGAGTTATATCTTGCTAATAAGTTGGTAGCGAAAGATATATCTGGTCTGGTGCAATTATCAAGATACATAAGAGCTCCTATTGCGCTCATATATGGTATTTCAGGACCAAGTATTTCTTCATCTTCTTCACAAGGTCGAAATGGATCCTTTTCAACATCTAATGTTCGATTGACCATTAGGGTACTAAGTGGATTAGCCTTGTCCATATTGAATCGTTTCAATATTCTTTTGGTGTAATTAGATTGATGGACAAATACCCATTTTGGACTCGTTCTATTTGCAAACCGAGACAATATTTGGTTTGTCCGAGATCTTTCATTTCAAACTCGCCTTTCAGTAAAGTGACTGCTTCTTGGATTTCATTTGTGGTCCCAATAATATTAAGATCATCGACATAGACAACAATTATCACAACTACATCTTGTGATCTTTTTATAATAACACACGGGCATATTTGATTATTTATGTATACTCGTTCAAGTAATTGTTCACTCAAACAATTGTACCACATGCGCCCGGATTGTTTTAAGCCATACAATGATCTTTGCAGTTTTATCGCACATAACTCTTTAGGTTTGGACTTTAGTGCTTCGGGTATTCTAATCCCTTCTGGAATTTTCATATAAATGTCAACGTCTAGCGATCCATATAAGTAAGCAGTCACAACATCCATGAGACGCATCTCAATATTTTCATGGATGGCTAAACTAATCAAGTATCTGAAATTAATTGCATCCATAACAGGAGAATATGTTTCATCATAATCGATCCCAGGCCCATGGGAGAATCCCCGTGCTACAAGACGAACTTTATATCTTGTGATCTCATTTTTCTCATTTCTTTTTCTGACAAAAACCCATCTGTACCCAATAGGTTTTATGTATTTGGGTATAATGGTTATAGGTCCAAAAACCTTTCGTTTATTAAGTGAATTTAACTCGGCTTGAACAACGTCTTTTCACTTGTCCCAATCATGTCTTTTCTGACATTCAATTATATATTTTGGTTCAGGATCCTCAACTTCTTTGTTAATTTCTTGTGATACCATATATGTGAATGCATCATCAATGATCTCATCACGCTTCCACAGTTTCCCATTATTTACGTAATTGATGGAGATTTCAATATTTTCATTTCGTCCTGAAAATTTTCCATCATCTTGATTCTTTTTCAAATTCGAATCTTGAATTTCTCTTTTCTTTCGAGGATTCTTATCTTTAGACCCTACTAGTCTTCCTCGTTTCATGCGTGCCTTTAATTTATTTGGCATGTCGTCATTTGCCATTTCTTTTGGAATCTCAACTCGAGCAGGAGCATTTATAGTTGCAACATGTGATTTTGTCACCCTTTTTG